GCTGCCAGGAAAACGCAAACAAGACTCGCGGGGCGTGCAACATACAGGGTGACGACGCGGAGCTCCGGGGGGCGCGGGGCCGGGCGGGCCGAGCAGGAAGGAGTCTCGCGAGCAGGAAAATGCGACCTTGACGAAAGTTAACCCAGCTAATGGGTACGCCTCGGCCGGCGGCCACTTGACTCCGGGCAACACGGCGGGAGAGGAGAGGCACCGCGGAGGCAGGCGGCAGCAAGCGGCAGCGCGCAAACCAGTTTTTCAGACGACGGATGATTTGATGATTTAATGTGTTTAATGTTTTTTCGCGTTTCCCTTCAAGCCGCCGGGGCAGCACCAACCACGGTGACGGTCGGAAAGTCGCGCGCGTGCGCAGCCGCGGCACGGTGTGTGACGGTGGGACAATAATCTCGTGTCGTTGGTCGCGTGTCGCGTGGGAAAACGGAGCGGCCATGGCGGCGGCGGCAGGGCTGGCGGGAGCCCAGTGAGAAATGCGGATATCAAATTGACATCAGAACGATATCGGACATCAGAAAAGTGTCGATTTCGGGCCCAGTTTTGAATCAGTTCTGAGTCAGAAACTTGAAATCGATATCGTTCTGATATCGATTCGATATCGCTTAAAATTCATTTCGCACTGGGAGGGGCTCATGGCGCCCCGAGGCAGCTGACGGCCGGCCGGCGTGCGCGTGTGTCGCTGTCGCTGCTGTCGCGCTGCGAGTGTGTCTCCTCGGCGCGAGGCTCCGCGCCCCGAGGCCATTAACCATGCCGCTGCCATCGGCGGCGCATCCGGCGCCAATATAAGCGACGCCCGGCCGCCGGGGTGCAGGCGAAGGCGAGGCGGCGACATGGTCTTGCAGCCTGACGAGCTTCCTTCCCCGGTCGGTCGGCCGGCGGCGAGCGACGGGCGTGCCCCGCGGGCTGGAGGCTGGAGGGGTGAAGGTTGACGGCGGCGGCTCCGCGGTCAAGGCCTCCACCAACGCTCCTGCCGGGCTCCTGCCGCGCTCCTGGCGGGCTCCTGCCGGACTCCTGGCGGGCTCCTCCCCCTCCCCTCTCTTCCATCTTTCGAAGAAGAGACTCGCCTTGAAGCTGAGTCCTGACCTGAGCATATGGATCTACAGTATCCTAGTATCCTCCGACACACTACCCTACCCTGAAGCGACACTGCAAGACCCCGAGTGGGGTGCAGCGGCAATAAGCCGGGCAACCTGAGAAACAAGACGCCGTGCACACCATGGTATGGTGCCCCGCTCAACCACGCCCCTCGCCATCACCTCGCCGGCCTTGGCTGACCCGGCTGGCTCCTCTTACCGCGGCAGCCAGCAGCCACCTGAGGCGAAGGATCGGCAACTCCGATCGGCAGGCTCGGCCAAGCGTGTGCCTCCAGCTCGAGGCGGGCCGCGGGGCGGGCGCGCGCCACGGGAGAGACTCAGGTCCTTGGTTGCTCCCCCTCCCCCTTATTCATCTGATAATCCCATGATACTCCGCATGTCTCTGAAGACCTTTTGACCACGAGAATAGCAAGTCAATCTGACGTGAGATCAAAGTCAAGTCCATGTGGCGTTAAAATTATTTGCGATTTCCCCACCCATAAGGCTTGGTTGGACCAATCCGCTTGTGATCTTTTCCGCGCGGAGTCTGGGTCCCGGTGTGCGCTTGGGTTGGCTCGACGGAACATGGGATGTACACGCATTTACATAAGGCACGCCGGCAGATCTGTCTCCTCAATGACGTACGATTGGTGGAGCGTCCTTTTTTCTACCACCTCGACGAGAACCGAATAGGCCAGGCCAAGCGGGCAAGGCGCTCTGCTACGTCACGAGCGGTGTCACCCAGTCCCCAGCCCATCCAAAGAAGCACTCCGGCCAAGGCGGTGTCATGTGGTGGAGCCCCTGATTTTCATTCATTCAGTACTTCAATCCATCCATCGACCATTTCAAGTTCACGACTTGAAGAAGGAATTACAAACCCAATCGAGAAACAGAAGGGCAAGTAGTCGGGCGGGGAGGGATAAATAAAGGCCGGGTCATATACTGATGAAATGTTCTTCCAATCAACTATCCTGCAATGACCTTTTGAGTCACGAGTCGAACTTAGTTGTGTAATATTTGCACACTTGTTTTACTTGTGTTTGCTCGTAAAGCTTACGAAAAATTAGTTCGTACTACAACGCTTTAAAATCCTTCGTAAGCTACAAAGGTTTCGGTCAGCATCACGAACCTGTTCTTCGTAAGCAATTTACAGTGAGGGATGGGCTCCAGTGTCGTGGGTTTGCCTACTCCGTTCGTCCGAGTATGCAAACCCGCAACACTGGAGTGCATTCCAGGATACACCCACCCGGTGTATCAAGTTGTATATTCGCAAATCAATTACCATTCATTGCAAACTCCTCGTGGCGTCGATAGACATCAAGGTCAGGGAGGTGGGCAGCGGCGCTAGTGCCCCACTTTGAGCAGCCGCGCTAACACTCCGGCGCCGCCCGACCCGACCCGACCGCACTCGGGCCTTCCCTGACCCGCTGGACCCTGCCCTGCCAGCAAGGCCAGCCGTTTTCCCTACGGCCAAAGTCCTTGAAAACGCAGCCAACGCACGGAAAGAAACATAGGAACACACACAATGACTTGACCCCCACGTCAGAAAGATAACGAAAACAACAACTAAAAACAAACCAAAAGGAGAAACAATAAAAATGTCGGCAGCTCTTCTCGCAGCGCTCGCGGACTCACGCCCCGGCGCCAGCCAAGTTCAAGTTCAGCCGCCAAGGCCTTGCTCGCCTTGCCCCGTACGGCTCGACTGGCCGTCCGGTCTGCCTGGCGGGAGGCCGCAGGCCGCGAGGCGCTGCGCGCAGCGAGCCCTGTTTCTAGCTGTTTGCGAATACTAAATGTACACATAGCCACCGTACACTTCGTTCCGTTCCCGCTCTTCTTCCCATCAGAATGGAAACCCGTCGTTCCGTTCCCGTGAAATAAAGGAGAAGCGAGAAGGGGGGGGGGGG